TTTCAACCCAAACAATATATTCCAATGCATGTGCAAGGGGTTTCCCCTGTAGCTAATCTCTCAATAAGGCGGCTTCCAATTGGCTCTAACTTTTTTTAACACTGCCAGATGATTGGCTCCTAAAACAAAGGGAATTGAATATGCAGCTCGGGTAAGCAGACGGTAGTATTTCGTCGCTTGGCGTAAGAACTACAACGTCTGTGAGCAGGCTGTGTAAGTAGATTGAACCATTTTACCACAGCACTCCATTTTATATTTTATCTTCCTCTGGATCTTTTCCCTCGGGTTCCTTCCACCACAGTCCAACAATATTCTTTGCAGCTCCTATTCCGTCTATCGGCTTCAATAATTATAGAATCTGCTCATATTCCATCTTTTTCAGCAGTAACACGAGTTTAAAAAGCATAATTTTTACCTTTTGTAAAAAGAAATGACACACACGAAGATCTCAAGGCAACTCTGGGCTTATTTTTTGTTCCTCAGATGTCGCTCTGCAAGAGTTCAGTTGCGCAAGAAATTCACTCTTGTCGGTTCACTTTTCAGACAGTAGAAAAAAATCAAACTTGGTGTAGTCAGGGTATCCTATATATCAGAACTCCAGTCTCCAGAAGGTGAAATTCTGTGTGCTGTCTCACAAGGATGAATTATGGAGACTTTCAGGCCTTTTGTTTTGATATTTATGGTTCCTTCCTGGACCTTCAACAATAGGAAATCACACACGATACTTAGTTTTCATAGACTGTTGCTTTTTGAACAAGTGGATAATATACGAGGATATGTCTCGCATACTCGCACAGATAACCAAGCAAAAATATACGCATTACGTTTTCTTTGTCTGATAGACCAATCAGGTTAAAAATCGTGTCAGGATCTTGGCTTTTTGTATGCGGCCAGGTAAGAATTTGTTTCACGCCATCTTTTGCTTCCTTCCCAACGCAATCAGTAAGGAAGGGAATGCGGAAGCTGCACACATTAAAAAAACATGCTGTTTTTAATCTTCTACTGTATTACAAATGTACATCAGTTGAAATCCAACACGAAACTACTTTATACAAATAGACAATAACATTATAAAATCACACAGTATCCCTTAATGTCCCCCACTCAATCTTCAGTGTCCTTCGTTCATTGAGGCATCCAATCTTTCACATTTTAGGAGATTCTTGAGGTTCTAAAAACATAAGAAAATACTTTTCAGTCATAATACCATGCAGAGGCAATCTTATTTCTGTAGCCTAAATACACACAGACTCAAATACCGCGGGCATAACTGAGACGATGTCATATATTGAGCTGAATGAAGAGTTATGACGTCAGAGCAAGCGTCTTTTATCTCTGAGGCTTCGATTCTCGCCACGAACTCATGTGAAAAGAAACGCTCTGCCGAAAGTCGTGGGTTTTCGGGTGCTCGGGTTTCCTTCCACAGAGAAAGTTGGCAGGGTGGGTTAGGATAAACACAGTTAAGAAACTAATATCATAATAAATAGCTTAGGCTGAGTAAGTAGTATAAGTAAGCGTATAATACTTGATGTATAATCGGTCACTGAAAAGTTCAGATGGGGCCGAAGAGCTGAATAATCACAACCAACAGTTACTATAGCTGTTACACGACCTTGTTAAAGATTATAATCATTTCATGACATATGATGTCTTAAAGGAGTGGGAATTAAAGCTGCAATTTTGGATTTCCTCATGCATTATACGTTTCTTCCGTGTGTTAGTTGTTGTGCTATAGTAAATTGCTTTTACCACAGGCACGATTTCGCCACGATTTACTGTATGGCGAGAGCACGCCTGATTTTTAAAATGGACAAAATAACAAAAATTCAACAAAGATGCTTACATGGTATTTAAATCTCTGACAGATGTGTAGACAATCTTCAATGATAGGATGTTGATAAAGAATATAAAATGGCAATGACTCCGTCTCACTTGCACCCAGTTCCAGAAATACACCACTCAAACGATCCTAGAGGAAAACATTAAAACAGAAAAACTAGCGGCTGGTCTAAAACCAATGTCTCATGACAACAGGTCTTCTCTGTAGAACAGGTTTGCTGATTGGATTCACTAAACGATATGACAATTTATTTATGTGTTTCGTTCCTTTACTCTGACACGTGCGTTACTGTAACATTCTCATGCAGCAGATGATCGTCAACTGAGTGACAAAACAATTATTATCCATTTCTTCGATCCAGATGCATATTTCCCATTCTCCTTCTTAACTTCACTAACCATATTTTCTCGGATAAGCTTATTTATCTTTCTTTGTAGACTTCGTTAACTCCTTTCCTCACACTTTTATTGCGTATTTTACATAAATGTTTTACCAGAGGAGACATGTATGGGGGATCCCGTGTGGATAATTTTATCTTAATCAATGGAAAACTGTTGTTGAATGCAGAAGTGATAATATGATTTAATAACATAACTGATTCGTTCACGTCTTCACAGTCATCAATACAGCTCCAGTCTTGTGCTTCCAACTCTCTCACCATAGCAAACTTTCGATGGTCTCTTGCATCTCTAAAATAAACTGTTTTTCTTTCCGGTTTTACAGCTACCCGTGGAGTTATCACGACAGCCAAATGGTCAGATTTTACTAAGCCATCAAAGACTCTAGGGTGATTCCATAAGTGTGGACAATTAGTTAGGAAAATGTCAAGTATTTTCTGACCTCTTGTAGGTTTTCTCACCATTTGTTCCATATTATGTTGACTTATAATATCCTTAACCTTCAGTTGATTAACATCTCCTCCAATTATAATTCTGGCATTTGATTCCCACTGAAGAATTTGCTCTATACTCTCTGATAAATGATTTAGTAATTCGCTTTCCTGATATGTGGGGTCCGGAGGGTGATACACAGAGGCGACATAGTATTTGCTATTTGCTGTCTCAATTCCACACCAGATGCATTCCAAATTATTTTGAAAGTTTAGAGATTTACATTTCCAATCTTCCCGACAAATTATAGCAACACCTCCTCCATTTCGACCATCGCCGCGATCTTTTCTTACAATAAGATAGTTATTGGGACATACTAAATTTGATAATATCTTACTGTTCAACCATGTTTCGCACACGAAGCAGATGTCAATTTCCCATGTAGAGAGCTCAACATCCAACGCAGAAACTGCCTGAGGTTTGGCAAGAGAACGTGCATTTATAACCATGCATTTGGGTATGATCTTTTGCGTAGGAGGACCATTTCTGGTGGGCTTGATAGCAATTAAATTTGCATGTGTATTCCTAATCTTGTTGGGATTATAAATTCGCGTGGGGGTATTTTGATCATAGTTTGTTTTACTAAAGCGTGATGTTATTCTAACCGGTATCTTCAAATTAGGATTGTAGGATGTCTCTTCATTTAGTAAACGGGGGGTCTTGTCCATAATGACATAAGAGGTGGGGGGCTTGGTAGGGTCGGAGGTGGGGTGTATGCTGATACGGAAACGGATGTAGGGGGGGATAAAACATTGGGAGTCGAAATGGGAAAAAATAACTTAGGTCGAAGGGAAAAGGGAATTGGTTACTGCCTGATTGTGGTATATTATCACGCTTTTGTTGAAACTTCGATCCACTTGTTACAGGTAGGACTTTCTTATGCAGAAAGTCGCATCTGTCTCCCTTTAAGCAGTGACCTCTCCTTTTCAGGAACGGGCAAGGCACTAACGCTTTTTCCTTTTTGCCTGTTGATGTAATTTCAGCATTTGAGATTTTAATTGTATTCGTCGCAGGTTACTATCATTGTTCTCTAATGATCTTACATTATTTCTATTCGGATTAGCTGAGGCTTTAACTGCATATGGAATATCAATGTTAATTGAGCTTGAAATGCTTGTGTTTAACGTATTCAATTGTGCATTGTTTGTGGGTGTCGTTACACACGGGACGATGGGTTGGGATTTATTTACTGAGGTATTGTTAGGGATATCACCGTTACTACTGGGGGTATTTAAAATAGTAGATTTGTCCTTAGGGAACACTTTCTCTTCAAGTTCAGCCAGGCGTGTTCTTAAATGCAAATTGTCACTGGCCAATTTACATAGCTCTTGTTTACTGTCTGCAATGATTTGGGTCTGTTCCGAAAGTTTAGCCTTTAAGGCTGTCACTGTGGACTCTATATTTACCTTAAACGTACAGAATCGTTCCTCCATAGATAAGCATTCTGCTGCACGCGACCTGAAAGGGGTAGAACTGTCGATTGTTTGGGCAAAGGACACATTGACGTTGCCATTTCGGGGCAACATACCTTGATAAGATCGATCAACAATTTCCTGTAGCTCTTCAAGAGTTGAAATGTCCGTAGTATGTGTTACCGCCCCGCATTCGGATTCAGCACTATCACGGTCTATGATTTTTCTACCAGCTTCGGACACGATTTCGCCATTATCCAACAATTTGTCTTTATTCGAAGAGCCAAGTTTAAAACTTATACTATTCGTCGGCATGTCTTCATTCATAATATTAGCAAATAGTTCTTTTAAATTGTCTCCTACACTGCCTTTGAAAGTCAGCATGCCCAGTTCATAGTTCCATGTGATAGTTAGGTCAGAATTGGAGCTCACAAATTTCTTATATTTGCCACCGGGTGATAGCCATTTGCCAGCCTGACCAATGGCATTTTTCGTAAATATTTTCAACATGTCAAAAGTATCTATCCATTTAATTCGATTGCCAACATAAGTAAAGCTATTCGCTTCTTTGTAGCGAAGTATTTCGGTCAAGTCCCAGTTATAAAGATTGTTTTGAAGGCAACTGACAGAGCTAGTCAGAACGCGACCGTCCGCCATCTTGGTTTTTCCAACATTCTTTCATTCTTTCATCATATGTCTTGTATTTCGTGGAAAAATATAGAGAAATGCAGTTTAATGAATGTAGGTCACCATTATCGTTTCTCACTTCAACCGCATCGTAGCATTTTCTTTTGTGTCGAAGTAACTAGTTCCACTCTGTGAAAACTGCAGCCTTTTGTTGAGCCCATGAACACATACACTGTTTTCTAATATTTATCAGACTTGAAGTGCAATAGTTAGCACTCATGGATAAGTCATCTTTTCAAATTAAACCTTTTACAGAACTCGTAATAATAAATTGCTTCCATATTTCTTGAATAGCCAGTTTTGAAAACAATACCTCAATGTTGAGATCAAGAATATTTTAAATAAAGATTAATCTCGTACCTGGGAAAATGGCGTATGTTCTGCTCCTTGAAATCGTTGTTTGTCACTAAACTCATTTCCACCATGATGAAACACCTGGAGAGAAGCAAATGTTTGTAGAATTTTAAATTTTATCTTAATTGAACGTTTGTAGCCGGTTGTTCGAAAACGGGTTAGAATCCTGGGTTAACATAAAACGTCACAGCAAACTTTCCAACAACGGTTGTATAAACATTCCAACAACGGTTGTATAAAATTTTCTGGATCAATAGCAGTTTTTATTTTCTACAGTTTTGAAATAAACAGACATATATGCAAACAAAACAATGAACAGGTGGATTTCAAGCAATCTCACGAGACTTTAACACAAAGGAAAATGAAGGTCAAATAATGAGATTCTTTTGTTTAAATGGTCTCCGTGTGCATTGAACTGGAGCATGATAAAAGCCACCTATTCTACTTTGTCTGTCTTTGATTATGAGGCATACTACCTTGACAAAGTCTTGTAACGTTATAAGTGCATTACCACCAGGTTCGTCAGATATATTCTAAAATAAAACAATGGTAAAGATATCATTTGAAGTACAAATACCAATTATGTCTATGTTCAAACAGTAAGCAGGCAATTTATTTCTTAGTGGTCATGCAGGGTTACAACAAGAGGAGTATGAGGAGGATATCTACGGCCAGGTTCGGTAGAGTGAATTTGGAAGAAATCTTCTCACGTTTGACTGAGCAAATAATCTGTATATTGCAGGAATCGGACAATAGCCCGATGAAGGTATTACATATCAACAATGAGCATATACTAATTAGGAAGGACGAGGTTTTAAACGTACCTTTCCGACAGGAAAAGATGTTGATGTGTCTGTTTCTTTCTGTAGCGCAGGCGCTTCAGGTTGAAATAAAGATGAAGATGGCATGTGTTGACAACAAACTATGCTCAATGCTCGTAACATTCCTTCTATCGGATTCTCATCCATGGCAAAATATAACAACTAAAACAGACATAGATTGAAAATAGTGGTTAAATCCAACCGGCCCTGGTTGCAAAATGAATTTCTATATAGACTGTTCACAGGCCAGGTCGAACACTATTGGTTAACACATTCATGTATCTGTTTGAAAGTCACGTTGGAAAGATGTTGGATCAGATTTCACTTTGTGCATGATGTTGGTTTCTGTATAAAGTTACGTAAACATGATCTCGATTTTATTGATCAATTTTGTACTTACAAAGTCTTCATAATTCAACATAGGCGCTGTTTTCTTTGAGTTGCAAAATATCTTAAACAGAAGCTGAAGAAAAAAATACTTCATATAAATACAGGAATGTCAACGAGACATGAACTTGCATTCTGGACTATGTCAGTCTTGTAAGTATTCTTAGGTTCTATAAAATCCCGACAAAGGACCATCGCTCGAAACGTCGAAGTTCTCCTTGTATTTTTGAGGTGGTTGCATTCCTATCAATCCGAAACTTTCTTATTATTGGTGCACACTGGCACAGACTGTTCAAGATCTATGATAGTTTTTCCTCATATTCACTTCATGCACATCTCAAAGAAAGAGGAAATAGTTCACCAAAGAAAGCAATGTAAAGTAACCTGACAACATTCTTGGGTGAAACCCTAGCTTGTGAAAACCTTGAGACTACGTCATGTATACGCTGCATGCAAGCATAAAACAAGCAGCATTAGTTTTAGTCAAATATACAACAGGATAAGTAGTCTTCTATTATTATAGATAAATATAGTTTTGTAGGGTAGTGTGTGGAAGCTGACTTTAAAGAATCAGCGCTAAAATGTAAGTGTAAGCAGTGAGGCTGGATAATCATGAAGGAATATGCAACATTTCAAGAATAAATAGTATAAATTACCTGTTTGAGGTGTTTAAATCGAGGATATGCCAGACCATCTTCATGTTCAGAATCTTCAGAAAACCACAAGTGAAGCTAAGGAAATAAATCATAATTATTACGTTCAGGTTGAAGAGAAAGTCCTGGTGGTACGAGGAAGAAAGCTGACGAGAGTTGAAACTGCCAACAACGACTCGAATGCACTTAAATAATTCAATGAACAACAATCAACTTTCAGTTGGTTTAAATTTTGATGCGACTTGATGAGAGCTTTTGCTCGGCGTGGTTATATCAAGTGAACAACCCTCAGGCAACTTTTGTTCTCGTTTGACCCGGAACATGATAGTTGAGAAAATTCTCATGCAAACATCACTAACTCTCATGCTAAAATGAAAATTTGAATCTATCGTACAGGTGAGGTGCATGTAAAAACCATCCAGTATATGAAAAATAATGACGCCTCGGTGAAACGAGGATCGATAAGAATTATGACTAGAAAGATCACGACATATAGAAGAAAGGCTAACATACTATACCTGTAAAAACTGCTGCTCGGACACAGATCCTGTCTTCTCAAGATCAATGTCCATAAATCTCGATAACGTACCAAATAGTTCATCCCGAGATGGCATTGGCAGGGGACTGGACGCCAGTACTAGAAATCTTTTCCAATCAACAAATTCCGAGTCTTGAGATATGAACGTTGTTAACGAATGCAGTTGCAGACCTGTTTGACTGATCCAAATATCTGGTAACATTTCCATACCGAACTATTGGGAAAATATTTATGCAAGTAATGAGTCACAATTATATTGTCGGGATGAACACCTCACAAAGTAAGTGTTTAGGTCACATGTATTTCTTGAGATATTTCTGACATGTAGGATGCCTATAGTAAAGAAATCGCCATTTGAAAGTAGATGTGTCTTCTTAAATTCTACATTTAATTTATTTGGATTACCAAAACTTGAAAACAAAAGTACGTTAGAAATAAGGGACCGGTCATAAAGTAATTACTAGAGGGGGGTGGAGGATAAATGAAATTTCAAGTACATATTTCCATACCCTCCCAAAAACCTATGGGAAAATTTTCGTAACCCCCTTCAATGTAAGTGAAAATTTCCATACCCCGTTCTATCATTAATTCTGTTTTAACATTTGTCTTGCGTTTATTTGTTATTTATTTATTTATTTATTAACTTTACAATCATACAAAAAATATAACAATGATTGAAGGTATGGTCAACAGGACATGAGTCCCATGTAAAGACCAACCTGATACAATACAATAAGTAGACATACATTAAAGACAAGGACTAGAACACTATTTACATAGCTATATAAAAAATAATAGTTTAGATTATGAGCAACAGCTTAAGTTGAAAGAACGGCATTTAGAGCAGTAGGTTTTCCAAGTGCGCATTCTGTTAATATCGAAAGAAGAGACTAATTGAGAAGAGTAGTGAGAATGGAGCTGGAGCTTAAAGGATGAAACAGACGAACTGTTACGAATGATCGGAGATCATTAGAAACTTGGCTCCAGATGATCGGAGTTTCATTCGAAACTCTCCAGTTTGTGATAACTCTCCCACTTCTTGTAGTGGTAACCATATCCTCAACATTTTCCGCAGTCCCGATTCGTCACCAGTCTTTTCTGATTCTGACATACTAGCGATGGGCTGCATGAGGGTAAGATCAAACAGAAAAATTTGTTTTTTTCGTGTGCAAAAATAATGAGACTTTTCACATTTTTGGCCATTTTAAAGTACGTCGGCCTCCCCCCTGCCCCCATTATCAATGTTGGAAAAAGTGGGTTGAATTTTCTCTTTTCAGTCATCCACACAACATTGAATTGGGGGTGAGGGGGGCGCTTATGCGGTTGTCTCAATAATTTTTGCTTCTGATTGTCTCTATTTGTACTTTTGAATAAAACGCAATTCGTTCATGTTGATTCAACTTAGTGCTCCAGGGAAGACGCTGACTTGGATTTCTTGCTTAGTGAACCTTTTCTCAGCGGTTTTCTATAACTGAGTACTTCATGTAAAAACAGTATAGGGATCTTGAGAACTATAGTTATTTTTTGTTAGGAAAGGACGATTAATTGATGAATATATACATTGGAAGAAGATTATAAAATAATGAATAAAATTCAGACTATTTTTTCCCATGGCTGACAATCATGAGTATATATTTTTTTCTCAAACAGAATATTTTCTTTAAATTCAAGTATTTTATAACAGACAACGCATCGTTCTGACCTACTCGTATACAAATTTTGGAAAAATTTCAATGATTTTCCTACTTATAGCTGAATTGTTACATATAAAGATTGACATACTCACTAGATTTTAAACCCAATTCAAGCATTTTATTTATGTTGATATATGGACTTACCGATCGTAAACTTGCACTAGAATTTATTGCAAACTTCCATCTCCTATGATTTTGGGATTATGTGAGATGAGCTCAAGCAAATCTGGTCGCACATGCGCAAAATATCAATCTATTTTTACGTACTGATTATAGACACGTTACAGTGGCGTTACACACACGTTACACCACACGTTACACCATACGTTACACCACACGTTACATAATAATCTGTAGTAAAACATATAGAGATACGACACGTTACACACGTTACACCAATTGTTATTAAAAATAAATATGTATATTTATTTTTAAAAACAGTTGGTCTGACGTGTCATATTTCTATATATTTTACTATAGATTATTATGTAAAGTAGGTGTAACGTGTAGTGTAACGTGTCAGCGTTTGCTTAATGAAGCCACGTGCGTGTAACGTGTCAGCGTTTGCTTAATGAAGCCAAGTGCATAAAATTTACATGAACTAATCACTTTAGATTAGTTGGTTGGTGAACATCCCACAAGCACAACAGCACATACTGCAGTATAAATGACAAAGTTTTTTCATTTTTCGTCATATGGCTATAGGTTGAGGAACTCTCATATAATGATTCCCTCCTGAGGAAATGATGGCTAATTGAGCTTGAAAGGACGTAAGAGTAGTTAAAACACTACATTACATTTGTATGGCTTATTGGATGTGTTGTTACTATATCGCAAAGTATTTTAATAAATCGTGTTTAGCCTACAACTTGTCTATTTTCCCAAAGATTTTTTTCTAGTAAGTAAATGATAGTAAAAATTAAATTCGTTAGAAAAGCTTCTTTACATCTGCCCGGTCCCCCCCCCCCGTGTAGCCTCCTTGGAGAATTTATACATTTTGGCGACAAAAAAGTTCGGTTAATTGATTGAAATATGTCAATCTCATGTCATCTTGATCGCTAGATTTCGCAAAATTTCAAATTTTGGACAGCTAACCCCCAGACAGCTCCATCTCAGACAATCGCGTGCAAAAATAATGAGACTTTTCACATTTATGACCATTTTAAAGTACGTCGTCCTCCCCCCTGCCCCATGATCAATGTTGGAAAAAGTGGGTTGAATTTTCTCTTTTCAGTCATCCACACAACATTGAATTGGGGGTGAGGGGGGCACTTCTGCAGTTGTCTCAGTAATTTTTGCTCCTGATTGTAGTCGCTAG